ATGCTAGTTAGCCGTTAGTAGATAAGCTTGTTCATAGACGTGGTCCACGACGTAAAGGCTTAACCACGAGGTTGACTCGGTGACCATGCCGCACAGCGATAAGGGAATCTGAAGCGTCAAGTTAGGTTGCCATGCCAAATAAGAATCCAGACTTTAGGGGTTTGTTCAGTGGGGCTGGTGTATACGTACTATCAAAGGCTTGAGACAGAGTGTAGAGCATAATCCGCTGGATCAACAATCCCGGGATGTAGAAACTAGCTGGAAGTGTGAATAGGTTTCAAATAGGTTTAGATAAACAGGTTTGAAATAGTGGTAGTTAAGGCGTGATAGAATGATGCAGGATAGGTAGATAGCGAAGGACAGAAGGAGAGATACCACAACTGTTTAGCACACATTTGGTCAAAGGATCGACTTCACTTGTCTCTTTTGACGAGTTTTAGTGTCGGGCTAAAAATGACAAGGCTCACTGACGATGCCGGAGAAACGTCTGGGAATGTACCACGTCTACGGTCCGAATCTGGAAACTATCATGCATAGTATGGACTTCGGATAAGGTGCGTTCCTCTAGGTCGTCCTGCCAATATAACAGTTATGAAAATAAGGTCAAAAAACTTCTATGCAACGAAAAGAGACCGCGACCATGCAAAAAGGCCACACCATCCTGGTCTTCATATCTTCGAGAAAACAATACAGTTTTACTTGAAGTACCTATGTTTGTATCGAAAGAATACCGAAATAAAAGAAAGTAAAATATCTATAAAGCTAGATTGACATCATAAATTGTTATTTGAGTCGAAATTTTAGCTCCAGACAATTACCCTTCGGAAGCAATTTTTGAGGCAAAAAATAAAACCATCAAACTCTTTTAACACAAGGAATAGAGATTGTTCAGGGTTAAATAGAAAAAGGCGAACTTATAAATTGATTCAGGATACTGTTCGGGATGACCTGAACCTCGTTCAGTGTACGGTCGATTCAGCCGAACGGTCAGATAGATGAGCTAAAATTATCTCTAGAAGCGAAATTTTAGTCAGCCCAAGCATTTGGGTATCAAGTATACAACCGCTAGTTTTATGCACCATACACACACACGCATATATGTATGAATGTGTGTGTGTGTGTATCTATTATAGTAAGACTACTTAACCTATTGATGAGAAGCACATATTTCACCTTCAACAATGCGTTTTAGGAACAGATGCAAGGGTTTGCAATTAAATATTAAGGAGAAGCATGTTTTCACAGGAATCGAAGGAGATTGCCTCGGAAACAGCGTCAGCATGAATCTTCCAGTAAAGCCAATCGACAGCTGGTCAAGCGGAATCCGTCACTGGTCGTCTTCTGGTGGAACCGACATTCGAATCTCTTCACGCAACACTTTCACTCGAACTCCGTCGCTGGTCGTCTTCTGGTGGAACCGACCTTCGAATCTCTTCACCCAACACTTCCACTCGAAATGGAAGGCCGTCGTCTTCTGGTGGCACTGACCATTGAATCCCTTCACCCAACACTTTCACTCGAAATTGAAGTAAGCTACCGTCGTCTTCTGGTGGAACCGACCTTCGAATCTCTTCACCCAACACTTTCACTCGAAGTGGAAGTAAGCTCAAGTCGTCTTCTGGTGGAACCGACCGTCGAATCGCTTCACTCAACACTTTCACTCGAAATGGAAGTCAGCTCAATGTCTTCTGGTGGAACCGACCTTCGAATCTCTTAACCCAACACTTCTACCCGAAATGGAAGTAAGCTCAACAATTATGAAACAAGAGACTCCTCCAAACCCAACCTTTCTTCGTATATATTACGTACGTATGATATGAATTCTTAACAACATTCTTCTGGCTATACTAAAATCAAGAAATCTTTATCCCGGCAAGTCAATACTATGAGATTTTTAAAAATTTGTATTTCACATAATGTAGTTCCTAAATGTTGTATTCTTGGTAGACGTTCAGATTT